AGAGAAAACAAACTAGAAAGTCGTAGAAGAATCCAGTTTTGGGAATGGGAGGTTGATGTGGATGGGTTGAAGATGTCAAGCTGTCTGGCTAAGATTTTGGGTAGATTTACATGAGAAACTCTCATTTATGAAATGTTTACCAAAATGCTGTTTCTTTATGATCTTTCTGGCTATATTCACCCTGGCTCCGGTCCCATTAAAAGATGATTTTATCCCCAATCTCTTAGTTCAGGCTTGCAATGTAGACCAAGAGACCTAAGAATGGAATTCGTCTTGGTCTAAAATCTGCATGTCCTCTGGTTTCTCCCACCATATCAACAAAACAATATGGATGCATGCTCAAACGAAATTGACTTGACATGGAGAAAATCAATGTGTCACCCATGTTCTGGTATTGTCAGACGCCCCTTAAAGCTCAGATTTGCAGGGATTAACCAAATGAATGACCCTCCATATTCATAACCTACCATGGAGCAGAGCTTAAGCTGCTGAGTGTGGCATATCACCAGGAAAATCAGTTCCCATGAATGACCCTCTTCAATCCACTAGAGTAGCAGATTAGACCCAAATGGAACAAATTACTTTCTGAATTCCAAGAACTTCTTGGTCACACCAAAAGAAGAGGAAGAAGAAGAACTCCAAGAACTCCCATTCAAACTATCCAAACTAATTTGTGCTCTGCAATATGGATCAACTGTGATAATGGCATGGAATTAGCAGCAAAATGATAATGGCGCCAATCCACATTGTTCAACGCATGACCTCAGAGCATCTTCCATTATAAGGCAATTTGAATTGAAATTTTGTGTCAGGTTCTTTTTCATTAAGATCATAGACTTTGCAGATTTTCACACAATATTCTTCACCACACATGGAATAATCTCATTCAGAATTCAAAAAATTTTCATTAGAAGAGATTCTAAACTCAATAATAGTTCATAGATGCCTGCATTAGTCTGATGGCTTCATCTAGAGTCATATGGATTCCTACAGAGCAAGCTATATCCTGGATTCTTCATCACTCCTTTCCTCAACATACTTGACCTCAATGCTTCTGCTTCCTGAAACCTTCCAGCTGATGCATAAACATTTGAAAGGAGCACAACTTGACCTGACTCTCCTGGGTCCCGCTCAAATATCTTTCTTGCTGCAAATTCAGCAAGCTCTACATTACTATGAAGCATACAGCCATTAAACAAAGCCCTCCATGCATAGGGACCCATCCCTTCCAAAAGAGTGCACACAGACCCACTATTTGCCTCAGACAAGAAGCCTGCTCGTGCAATCAAGTCAACAAAACAACCATAATGCTCATGATCTGGCCTTAAGTTATCATCTTCAACCATCTCCTTGAAAATCATCAGACCATCTTCCACCAATCCCGCATGACTACATGCATTCAGTATGCACAAGTAGGTGGCACTGTCAACTTTTTCCTTACATCTCTTTATTTCGTGGTAGAGAGCAAGCGCAGTTTCTCCACAGCCATTGATCCCATAGCCATTTATAATTGCATTCCAAGAGACCATATCTTTACCAAGACCCATCTCATTGAAGACATTGTAAGCAAGATCCATACTTCCACACTTCGAATATGTTGATATGAGACTATTTTGAACTGATCTATAATTGGAGAAACCAGCCTCAAAAGCATAACAATGGAGCTGCTGGCAGAGCTCAAAAGCAGCAAGCTCACCAGAAGCTGTTAAAGTACTGATTAGCATAATTGAATCAAGATCAAGGTTTTCTTCCTGCCTGACCTTATTCAAGAGATTCAGAGCCTCAACAGGCAAACCATTTTGCACATATCCAGAAATCATTGCTGTCCATGATACTAAACTCTTTTGAGTTGATTGATCAAATACACTTCTTGAAGAATCTAACTCACCACATTTAGCATACATTGCTATCAATGAGTTTACAACAGGAAGCTCTGATAAAAATCCAGAAACAGCAGCTTGAGCATGGACTTGTTTACCTTTTCCTAGAGCTCCTAGTAGTCCACAAGCAGTAGTTAGATTCATGATAACTATGGCGTCATAACCTACTCCGCTGTGCCTCATTTTGAAGAAAACCTTTACAGCATCGGCAGCACATTCAAGGTTGACCAATAAACCCGTCATTGTTGTCCAGCTGATTACATCTTTATGTTCCATGGCCTCAAAAATTTTTGTACCACTATCCAAATCCAATAAACATGAGTACATGTCAAGCACTGAATTATTGACAAGTATATGCGAATCAAGACCCAATTTAATGATTAAACCATGGATCACTTCACATAGAGTTCTTGAGTCTAAAGCAACACAACCTCGTGTTATGGTCAACACTGTTACAATATTTGGAGCCAAACCATACTTCCTCAGCTCCTTAAACAGCATGACTGCCTCGTCAAAGAGATTACTGTTTATAAATCCTGCAATCATAGCATTACAAGAAGCCAAACTCGGGTTCTTCAGCCCCTTAAATAATTTATACGAATCAGTCATGTTTCCACACTTGGCATAAGTATCAAGCACTGCAGTTCCCACAATGGAGTCAGACTCCAACCCATATTTAACAACCAGTCCATGAACAGACTGCCCCAACACCCAGTCTTGCAAGCCCTGAATGCCAACAAGAGCACCAACAATAGTGAACGAATTTGGTGCCCAACCCGATATTCGCATTTGGGAGAACAATTCCACGGACTTTCTGCCACACCCATTTATGGCATAGCCGTGAATCACAATAGACCAAAAGACCACATTTCTCTCAGGAATTTCATCAAACAGTTTCTCTGCCTCCTTAATCCTCCCCGATTTGAAGTAATCACTCAATAGTTTAGAGCTACCATACGAATCAATACAGGAAAGTGAGGGTTTTTGTAAAAGGTAAAAGCTCTTAACTTGATGCAAAGCAAATGGGGTTCTCTTGATCTTGCTGAAAATCGTCGAAATTCCAATCATTGAATTTAGTTTTATTAATTTCGCAGCCACCCCAAAAGCCGACATCACAACTCTGCTCTGGTTCGTCTGAAAACGAGTGCGATCTTGGGCTGGCCCTGAGACTCTTGACCATTTAGCCCGGCTCGGCCCGGCCTAGCCCAGTTATGACAATCAGAAGGGAGAAAAAACGCGAGAAATTGAATTGCATGAACTGAGAAAGTGGCGAGATATGATCGAGCGATTACTGTGTTCTCGCCGGACGGTCATCTGTTCCAAGTGGAGTACGCTCTCGAAGCTGTCCGCAAAGGAAATGCTGCCGCTGGAGTCCACGGCACCGACATCGTCGTCCTTGGTGTCGAGAAGAAGTCCACCGCCAAGCAGCAACCAATCCAATGCTAATTGATTTGCAATTTATTGATATCACTCTGCAATTTCTGGAACTAAAACGTCTGTTCTTTTCTGTTTTCTAATCCTCAATGATTTTGTTTAAAGAATTTAGGAGAGAAAATCTCTTGAACACATGAATTCAGCTGTTTTAATTTTATCTTTAATTGATGGACAGGATGACAAAAGAACATCGAAGCGGAGAAAGCAGCAATAGATGCTGCAAAGAAGGCCGCTCCTAAAGAAACGTAGTTTTGTTGCCCCCTCTTTATACCAAGATGCTGGACTTGTTGGATTCTACGTTCTTTAAAATTGTGCAAGTAGTTTGGATCCTTTTCTTATAGGAATTGATCTTGTTATTAACACATAATACTATTAACATGATTTAGCATGTATGCTTTGTCACATAATACTATTAACATGATTTAGCATGTATGCTTTGTCAATTTTAGGTTATGTTTGAAATCCCAGCAGCTACCCCAAGCCAATTCCTAAGATATAAAACTCATTCTATTCCTTTATAAAAACTTGAATGAAGTTTTCGATATATATGTATAATCTGTTATGCAAAATAAAACAAATATCAACTACAATCTTGCAAATAAAGTGCAGAAAAATAAAAAGAAATGGAAGAGAATATCAAGCCGTGATTTATAGTGGTTCCTCCAACCCGGAGTACGTCCACTTCCCAAGCCTCCTTGCTCGAGAGTTCAATCCACTAGAAATCTCTTGCTTACTGGTGCAAGATTAAACCGGAACAACCTCTTGCTTGCGAGTGCAAGATTAAACCCTCACAAGTGAATCTCAACTCACTCAACCCCTTCAAGAATTAACCCAATCCAAGAAGAATACAAAACCCTTGTAAGACAATATACCCAAAAGCTCACAAGAAGAGAAGAAAGAAACCCAGAACTGTTTCAAACTCTGTTTATAGAAACGCTATAGCAGTTCTACCTTCTTCCACTCTCCAGATCTGATTTTTGGTGTTTTAATAATTGGTTGGGAGCCTTGCCATTAATTGCCCATTTAGACCTTCAAAGCCACCTCACAATTGCCCCAATGGTTCCACCTTATTCTTCTGACTTGTCTTGGAAAGTGCTAAGACATTTAGATCCCCTATGACCCATAAACAGATAGTTGAGCTGTCAAAATTTACCCTTTCAGAATTTTTGCTTCGAAGCCAGAAATATTGCTTCGAACCATTTTCGGAAAACAAAAGTCCGAGATTGATTCGAACCAAAATAAATTGGTTCGAACCCAGAACTCTGAACAAGAAGGAACATGAATTAATTCTAATCGTGAAGAAAGATTAGAAACCTTGGATTAATTTTCCTGCACACTTAGCACAAAAATAGATTAAACTCTTTTGAATCATGGTTTAAAATCATCATCAAAATACAAAGAGAACCTAACAATGTTTTGTATTAAAGCTAGAGATTTGTTGTAAAACAATATTTGGCTGGATTTGGGAGGCTAAGGTTATGGCTGAGGGCATCAATTTTACTTATAATTTTATAAATTTATAGTTTGTTTTTTTAAGCAATTAGTTAGAATATTTGAAAAATATTTGAAAATATTTATTCATAAACTAATGTAAATTTGTTAAATAACAAATATTAATTATTTTTAACAATTAAATTAAGATAAAATTTATACAATTTTAAAGTTCAAACAAAATTAATGCTGGCAATAAAGGAAAGATATTTATGTTTGTCAATCTTGACAATTTTGACAAACTTGACGGTCGTGGTTATCAGTAAGAGATTGTCATCGATAATAGGTTGGATCAAGTGGTAAGCGATTTATTTCAGTTTAAACAATGTCTCGAGTTCGAGACCTTGTGTACGCAGTAACTCTCGTTAGGAGATTTATCCACCATTTTCAGGTGTGCGACGCGAGTCGAGTCTGGATTAATCGGCACAAAACCTCGGATACCATGCGAGAAACTAAAAAAAAAAAAAAGAAATTGTCTTGGAAGAAATATTTGTCTTATAAGCCACCTACTGCTCTCAAGTGCTAGTCCTAATCCTAACAGTAAGGCCAATCAATATATCTCAAAACCCAATTTCTATTTTCTGTTCTTTGGAAGATACCTAAAATTTCTCAAATTACTGCAGGTGGGCTGTTTCGTCCTGTCATTTTTATGCAAGGTCACATAGGAACTGTTAGCATGACTATTTTGAGTGCATGCATTCAGGCACAAAGTCATACACACTATCCCTTATCGGTAGAAACTGTGTTTAGGAACAAAGTGAGTTTATTTGTTTCCTTAGCCCATGAAAATGGACTGGTAAGGTTGGATGAAGTTTTCTTTTATTCATGGACATAAGGAGAATCTGGTCCCTCATTTGTTCAGGTTGACCTTTTGCGTTAAAAATCTGCGAAGGGCCACTCCAAATTTAGCAATCATGTTTTTACTTGAAAACCTACCTGCCACTGTGCCACACCTAATAATTTCCCCCCGGCAAGGTCAATCGCACCATGATGACAAAGCAACTTAATTTCTTAACTGCCTTGGATATTTTCTCCATTTCAATATGAGTATGGTATAATTTTATAGTTTAAAATAATTTTTTTACAAAATATTAATTATTAAATAAAAGACCTTGCATCCATTTTATGCTTTGTTTCTAGATTATGAAATTATTTTTCTCTTAATATGTAAATCTAAATAATTTATTATGTTCTTTTTTTTTATTTACAACAATTATAACTTATTTAATTTGAAAAAAAATTTATTTAATTAAATTAAAATTTTAAATTAAAATTTTAATTTAATAAAATAAAATTTTTTTATTTCTTTCAAATCAAACTAACTATTAAAGTTATATTTTTGTTTCCCTTTTGAATGGAGAAAATTCAAAATAAAACTCAATTAAGAACCTCCCTTTGCCCAAAACACAAACAACCCTACAAACCCATTATCCTAGTGTAATAGCCTATCTACAGTCCAAAAAGGACGACAAGAGTTATTTTCAATAATTATATCCATGGAAAATGGAGATGGGGTGTTTTTATTGCAATCTTATCTACTGTGTTAAAGTTGACTTGAGCAATAACAAATTTTGGACAAATCAAGCCGTAAGTCTGTCTTTATCCTAACCAAAGGGGCCAGGCAGCCGGTTGAATATCAAAGCTTCATACACAAATTTCATCAGAAACCATCAAATGCACAATAATAACTCTATTTCCTTCCCTCCAAAAAGATCATATACCTAATAACCAAGCTGCTTAATAATTCCTCCTCTTTCTATCTCTTGGAGTCATAAATTTTGGAGATCATGTCAGAAGATGTTTGGCAGGGCAGGTAAGGGGATTAATGGAGAAGAAGAATTAGGCTATAACCATTGGACAAAACCCATGTGTGTACTTACTTGAATTCCATGTATCCGAACCAGACACTATCATCTTATCTTTTTTTTTTTTTTTGGAGGAACATCTTATCTTCTCTTTGATCATTACCTACCAAACTCTGTTAACTTTTTGAACCACTGGTTGAGTCGTGTTTTTCTTTTGAGGAGCAAAATGAAAATCACTCATTTGACTTGAACATACACTAGAATAAATACTAACATTAATAATTAATCATTTTTTATGATAAAAAAAAAAAAAAAAAAAACTCTGTTAACTTTTTCTACCAGCTAATGAACTTTTTCTACCAGGTAGTGATTTATGGTCTTTTAAGACTCTGTACAACATGCATACCACCAATCAAATTTTAGAAAGCAAATTTCTCATTCATATCTTCAATAGGAAAAAAAAAAATCCCAAATTTTAACACTCTTTAACTCTTTTCAGTCAATTTTTCTTCCAGTCTGTTAAGCTCATCATTTCATTCTTCTCTTGGTTTTTGGTGTTGGTTTTCTACTTCTCTTTCACTTTTGTTGGCTAGTATTGGTGAAAATTATTTAATCCCTCAATTCAGATTCAAGGTACCATCCTTGGTTTTTGGGTTTATCATCCAAGAAACTCCTTTTGGCTCCATAGTTTGTCTGCCTTTAGTCCCCCATCATTGGTTCTCCTGCTCTAGATGAAAAGTGAGTCCTTAGTGCCGAGCGCACAGGCAAGTGGTGGTTCTGACGTGTCAGTTATTTTTAGTTTTTCTTCTTTGTTTTCACTCAACAAGACAAGTACATATTTAAACTTATTTTAACTTTTAAGTGCACCGGCACGTCGTGGTAGTAGTTAGATTTTTTAATTTTTTAATATTTTATAATTAGATAAAAAAATATTTATATATTTTTATATTTTTAAAAAAATTTCCTAATCTATATTCATAGAACACAAATTAAAAATATAATTATTGAATTTCTTTATTATTAATTTGTATAAAAAAATAAAAATAACTTAAATTTTATCAATTATTTAATTAAATTATTTCACATAACATAATTGGACTTTTGGATCCAATAATTCATTCTCAAGCCTTAAATGCTTAGAGATTGTTGGTCAAAAATTTGACCCTTATCAATGTTTTTAAAAAATATCCCCCTCTCCCAGAATTCCCCAATGTTTAAAAAAAAAAATTATTTCACATAATATTAATGTTAAAAATAAATTTTATTTTTATAATTTTTTTATATAAATTAATAATAAATATATAATAAATATATTTTTAAACTATATCTAAAAATAAAAAGTAAATAATTTTTTAAAATAATAAAAAACAAAAATAAAAATTTAAAATATCAAAAAGTATTGTAAGATAAAACCTTCCCATTTGATTGTACATAATCGTTGTTAATAAATCATTGTTATTTTTTTTTTTTGAACATTTTGACATGGAGCGGGTTCAACGAGTTCAAAACCCGTCCAGAGAAAGGGGAAATGCACCTAACAAGCTGACTAATGCCAGTAGGCCTCTAGGCCCAGGTAATAAATCATTGTCAATTAAAAGAAAGGTAGGAAAAAAAAATGATGATCTTGTTCCACAGTAACTCAGCTGTAAAACAACTAAAATAATAGTAACAAAATTCACCGCGAAATTAAAAATAGAAGAAGCTGACTTTAATTACTTTATCCAGGGGTGTTTGATTTGGGACTTTATAAATAGTTATTTATTGTTAATTTTAGTAGAATAAATTAAATATTTTAAATTATAAATAATAATTATTAATTATTATTTATATTTAAATAGTTAAACAAAATAAATTAAACTTTCATGTTTAAATAGTTCATTCTCAAATCTTAACGTGATTCAATTTGTTAATGAAATTTTTAAATCTTACCAATACCTTAAAAAAAAAAAAATCTTCCCTCAAATTGTATACTGATAAAAAAAATAATCAAACAAAATAATTCTGGAGCTGCATTTAATTATTTTTATAATTTTAATATGACAAAAAAAAATGTTGTGGGGATAAGGAAGAGGAGAAGGGTGTTGGCTTGGGGCCCACGAGGATGAGAAGAGATGGCAATCGGCGTGGGTCCCGCCGCCGCAAGCGCGCACATGAGCCAACGTCGGACGGCTGCCAACTACCACCCAAAAAAGAAAGAAGTTGGTAGCGTGTGGTCGTGTGCGATATCGACGTTTTCCAGCCATAAAGCCCCTAGAGATCCCCTCAAATTACAAAACTTGCCATTTTCGATTCCTTTGAAAATTTTCCATCAACCATATTGTTAAGTGGGCAAAATAAAATCCCCTTTTATGCCCCTAGATTTATCCCAAATTAACTTGTAAGCCCTTAAATTAAAAACGGTACAAATATGCTCTCAAATCCTTCAAAAGATACAAATTAATCCTCATCACTAACGACCATGCATGTGACTCCATACTATCTATTCCTTTCATTCACTTGGTTCCCTTTTCTATTTGAATATCAAAACACCTATTAGGTGATAAAAATCCTTACAAAATTAATGATTTATATGACATAAGAGCACTAAATTAAAAAAAATGTGTCATGTGGGCTGTTTTGACGAGATTATTACCATCTATGGGATTTTTTGATCCACATCAACATTTACATGGAAAAAGTGACTAAGCAAAGGAAAAAAACAAATGACATAAGATCATATGCTTTGGCTCCTTAATGATGAAGGTTAATTTGCATCTTTTGAGGGGTTTAAGAGCTAATTTGCATTATTCAAGAGATTTAAGAGATTATTTGCATAATTTTTAATTAATTTAAGGGTTCTTGTGTTAATTTAGGACAAGTTTCGGGGTTTAAAAATGGGTTTTGCCTATTAAATACTAACTTTAATGTTTTTTCCCTTTTTACCATGCACATATTATTATAAATTTTTTGATCACTCGGCTTTAAATAAATAGACACATACTCTATATATATAATGAATCCCTCCGAATTAGAGGAGTTTATAAAATTTATACCATACGTTAGGTTATATTGTAAAAAAATTTCATTATGAATAAACGTTATAAAAAATTTATTTTTTGACAATTAATTTTTGAGTGACAGCAACCTGCAAAATGTTTAAGATAGTATGCTTCATAAATTTTCAAGCATTAATTTTTATCATAATTTATTTATGGTAGATTTTTGATACATTAATTTATCTTCAATGCAGTACATTAATAATGATATGTAACTTCATAAACTTTATATGTAACTTACTATGCGCAATATTAAGAGTACACGATTATATTGTCCTTATGCTAATCTTAAAATTTGAATCATAAACTTTAATTTATAAAACAATACTTAATAACAATAGTCGACTCCACCAATAAAGTATAAACATATATAATTTTCTCGATAAATTCAGTAAATTATTAAAAACACAAAAAAAAAAAAAAGAGTAAATCTAACTACAACTTCTCAAGATCTCGATTTGTACTACTTAGGGATCAAATCTTATTTCATATTGTTTTCCTTATGATCCAAAGAAGAAAACCAAAAGAATGTATTCGAACATAACTTAAATTCAATGGTGATGCTGCTTTCAAGGCAGTTGCCAAGAAACTGAGAAAGGAAGGCACACCTACCTTTTAGAAGTGGTACCATCATTTTTAAGCACAATATTCCATTCCATTATCTCCATTGACAATACCACCTTCAACTTGCTATATACCACGTGATTCATGAAAATAAGGATTAATAAACATAAGGGGGGAGGAAGAAAGTTGAATTTGTGTTTATGCTAAGAAAATGTTGATATTTCATAAACATGGATATTTTTAAATGAATGAATTTCCTTTACTTGAATTTTTAGAAATAAATGAAATGATTGCAAATGAAATCTGAATGTTACTTGATATCAATTTGTGGCATTTTAATGAATACGACTCAACTAACCCAATCCAAGTTCCCTCCCTGTCATGATTTATCACCTAATCTAGTACCCAGGTTTTGGAATGTTAAAGGCATTATTCCCAAAAACTAACATATTTTTCTTCTAAATATATAATCTAGTAAGATGGGCTTTGTTTGACATAGGCGAAAAAAATTAAAAAATCATAAAATTATTTGTTTCTTCTGATATTTTAATAAGGTTTAATTAAAGGATAAAGGACCTGTTAAATAATTGAACATTAAAGGGGTAATTAGGTAATGAATGGATCTAGAAGAAAACCAAGAGGGACCACATGAAGGGCATGCACGTGATGTTTTGGTGGGGGGTTTTGAAACTAAATAACAAATTAAGGTGCAACAATTATTACCCTATTGATGGGGAGATTTTGGTATAATTATTAGTGACAGAACCTTGTTAAACACAATTTTCTTCCATTGCAAGAGAAAAAAAAAATATCCCATGGAAGCTTCTAATGTCTCCACCTAACACCTTTGAAAACGGAAAAAGCAATGGTGAATTGTGGAAAAAAAAGTGATCCCCTTTTTCTATGAACTAAAGGGGCCATTATTTCTTTGGATTTTGTTCCAACAAAGCTAGCACTCATGTGTCATTTTGCTCTTGCTCCATCTTGTCATTGGGTTTTGCTTTGATTCTCAGCACTCCAGCAGGTGTTTGGGGTTTATTTCTTTCTTCTCATAATGGTATTCTTTTCAACTTTCATTTATTTATCTTTAAAACCATTTCTCCATCCCATGAACCCTTTTGCTAAAATTGATTTAGTATTGAGTATAAGGTTGGTTTAACACCCATCACCTTGTCTTATATTTTAGTGCTGTTGTGAAAGCACCGGCTTAACGACGACTCTACTGACATGTTATTGAATTAAATCCGGCCGTTTTGCCTCAATGCTACCTGTGTTTTTGGTACCATTGACTTCATTAAACTAAATCCCATGGCAAGATTATTGAGAGAAATCCGACTCCAACACCAAACATGCCTATTTAATCCAAAAAAAAAGAAAAAAAAAGAAAAAAAGAACTACATACTTTCATACCTAGTGTGAATCAATTTGATCAAATTCTCAAACTATCAAGTTCTTTGTCTATAGGGATAGCAGAATATCTAGTTGGTATATTTCATTTATTAGCGTTAATTTTGTTCAACGATTGAAGATTCTCACCTAACATTGTATCTAGAACGACTTGTCATAGAATTGATAATTATATACATATTATAAAAATAGACATTTATATTTAGTCAACTATTTGAATCCTCCTTTACTTTAGCTATAAACTGTTTTTCGAAACAGCTTAAAAATGGTTAATTAAAGGAATTATATATTTCAACTTCTAATTTTTAATATAGAGTTGATCCTTTTTTTTTTTTTATAGTGTCTCAAATTATATGATTTTCTGTTAATTTCATCGTTGTCATTATATTGAAGATCCATGTATTTTGTATAGAACTTTTTGGTATATATAATAAGAATAATAATCGAGTAAATTCTGTAAAAAAAATTCAATGAAATTATAATAAACTAAAAAAAAAAACCATGATTTTTGATGTTGTCATTCTTCTTTAATTTCCTTCAATATTCTAAGGATCTCTTGCTATTATTGTTCATGACTCAAAAACCACATCAAAATTTTAAGCTAAACTCCTCCCCCCCCAAAAAAAAAAAATCCAAAAGGGACGGTAGAAATGAGAGTAAAGGAATGTGGAAGAAGAAATTTAAATTTAAAAGCATTTTTTAGGGTTTCACATATATCTAATTGTAGGTTGGTTAGTTGGGTCATGGATGATTAATGTTAGGTTGCTACAAAGATTGTACTACGGACAGTTGTTAGTTTCTTCACGCCTTTTATTTAGTAAATGAAAGGGTGCTTTTATTGTAGTGGAAGTGATGGGTTACCCACCACTCCTCTCCCTTCATTATTTCTCCTCCTCTCACAGCTTATCCATTGTCTTCGTATGAAAATCAAGCCACTCTTTTTTTTTGCCAAAAAAAAGACAAAGCTTAAAAAATGAAAACCTAAAATTCAAAAAAAAAAAAAAAAGGAGAGAAAAAGTTATGTAATCTTCTTAATTTGTTAGATGAATGAACCTTCATCACAACCAATTTGAAAAAAAAAAGCACAAAATATGCTTTTAAATATATATTTTTTAAAGGCAGAAGAGAGAGTCATGACTCTCCTTTTCAATCTGAAAAATACGGAAGAAGTTGAAAGAAACACAGGGAAGGAGATTTGTTTCTTAGGAGTTGGGGCTATGATTTGAGATTTTAATTCCTGCGGAACGTTGTTTGGAGAGATAATTTCTTGTAATTTTTTTTACTTTAAACAGAGATAAATAACCAGCTGTGCTAATTGAATATAGAATAATTGCTATAACAAGAAAGAAATTAAGAGAAAAATCTCCATCTCTTCTCTTTCTCTGTCATTACTCTAGCTTCCTACTAGTAGTAACAACAACAACCGCCACCCACCCGCACATAGGACCCTCTTGAAAATCTGGTAGAGGTTATGTGGAGCAGAGGTGATAACAAAGCAAATTGTGAAGAATCCTCAATCCTTTGCCTATTCTTGTGAAAGGAAAAGAAAAAAGACCTTATTGTTTTGGATGGGAAAAGGGAAAATATTACCAAAAACAGTACTATAAGAGAGGGCAAACTATACAGTCCAGTGAATTCAAAACATTTCTCGGAAATAATCATCTGTACTGATATACTGATAGTCTAGTACTATATACTCGTATGTTATAATAAAGATACGCACAGAGCATTGATTCAGAGAAAATTAACAGAGATTTTAGACTAATAACAATCTCTTTCTCATTTCTCTCCATTCTGATTTTAGCTACATAATTATAAAAAAAGAAGTTAAACCCAATTCCTTCTTATTTCATTTCCAAACCTCTATAATCCAACACATCAGTTCTCACGCCTAAGAAGTCATACCCTGTAGTGGTGATGTTGCCAGCACTGCTACTGCTGGGAGTTCCGATGCCGCAATTGCATTCTTTGCTGTTTTGCAGACCCAAACTGCAGACAAAACAGAGAGTTCCACCTCCTGTTTTCAGTGGCTCAGGCTGGAGGTGGTGAGGAGGGCTAATCCTGAGATCCAGGTTCAAGTCAGGACACCTTTCTTGAACTGGGTTTTTCTCATCTTTGCAGAGAAGGTCCTTGGAGTTCTTCTCTTTCACTTCTTTATTACCAGCAAAAGATATTGTTGAGACTTCTTGAGCTGCAGCCTCATTGAGGGGTCTGTGAGTTGCAGGGTCAATACCTCTGCTGAGTAACTTCCTTTTTATGTGTGTGTTCCAGTAATTCTTTATCTCATTATCTGTTCTTCCTGGTAATCTCCCCGCTATAAGAGACCATCTGTAGTCATGAAAAGAACAATCAAAGTCAACTTCTTCAGAGTATTTGTCAAGGAAAGTTTGGTAAAAATTAGTCTCGTGAAACGAACTTACTTGTTACCAAGTAGGCTATGCAGCTTGATAATGAGCTCATCTTCTGCTTCAGTAAAATTGCCGCGTTTGAGGTCTGGCCTCAGATAGTTGATCCACCGGAGACGACAGCTTTTGCCACATCGAAGGAGGCCTGCAGCCTTAGGGAGGGAGCGCCAGCAGCCTTCTCCATGGGCTTTGATATAAGCAATAAGGCGATCATCTTCTTCTTTGGTCCATGCACCTTTGTTTGTATGAGCTTTCTCACAGCAGGGAGACCTTCCCATTGAGTACCAGAAACTAGCACACCTCTTCTGGGCCTTTTCCTCCCTAAACTTTTTAAAGTAGTAATTTTTTCAAACGAAATGATGGTGAAAATTGGAGACCTTATTTTTTTTGTGTCGCTGAAAGATCGAGTCCGGTCCATGGGAGAGCTTGAGATGTGGCTTTATAGCCTTTTGACCATAACACAGAGAAAGAGAGGGGGGAGAGAGAAAGGGCAGTGACCCAAAAATTGCTTCTAGATGCGAGTTGGTGAGACAGGTTAGAGGGAGTGGCAGGTGGCCTCTCTCTTGATGATATTACCATCAATCATATTATATGTTAACAGGGACATAACTGTAGCTAACCTTCAGGTAGGTGTAAAGTAAGATACTAAAGTATGGGTGAGACAAAATGTGATTATATATTTCTAAACCCTCTTTGCACTACTTTAAATTAATAATCAGTTAGCTTTCTTAATCTTCCCTAACCACTAAGACAGCATATACCCGAATACATATATGTACTCCTTGTAATCATGTCATGTTGTTGGAACTAACATCTCTATGGTTCTTTTGTGAAATTTTCGTTCTTATGCATGCCCCCAAATAATGTTTCACCTAAATAGCTTGACACTAATATTTAATTAAAATTGCAAGTTTATCGGTAATCATTTGACTAACTAGGTTCCATAATCATGCAGCATCTGAGATTAAGTAAATGGGAGGTTTCTTGAAGAAAATTTAACTTAATGGGTATACGGAGTAGTTTTTCATTTTCCTAATAAAAATATATAAAAGATGCTATTTTAGTAAGTTGTTGTGGGGACGTAGGGAAGAAATGTAAGTGGATTGGCTACTCTTGTTCATAATATAGAGATGGTAGTTGCGGTTCTTTATTCTATTGGTATTCTATATCATGCATGAGAGAGAGGGAGAGGGCTTCTAGAAGAGTTGGAGGTTGGATTGAAGGCAAGATGATGAAAGAAAAGGGAAGAAAAGGGAAGAAAAGGAAAAGAAATGAGTGTGGTTGTGGTTGTCTGTGGGCTTTGGTTCACCTTCCACTTTCCTTTTTCTTACCCCAAACCTTGTGGTGCAAGTTTAGGCAACACCAAATGACAGGGGATGGATGGGGTCATGTTGATTCAGCTTTTTGTTGCTATCTAATTTCTCCCCTCCGATTAGCATATTTTGCACCCACCACATAATATCATGATTTTCAAGTGGATGGTCAAGAGTTTAAGGACCATGCCATGGGGGAAATTGTTTTCAGGAGGGAAAGAGATGGGGAGGAGAGGTCCACTAGTGTAATTATCCATTTTTATGCTGTGTATGTATTTCACCTACTTTTTCACCTTTATGAGACTGCCTCTGCGCCTAGTCCAATACCGCCCTCACTTTGATGTTGAACCATTTCAGCACCATTTAGGATTTTATTCCCTATCCTTTTTAACACAAACCCACCAAATGAGACTCCGCTAGCTTAACGAGCATACCTGTAAGGTGATAACCCTAACAATAGAAAAAGGCCACATCAAAAACCTTGCTGGGGTGTCGGTACCACATCAGATGTATATAGAGGATATTGAGAAATTTTGCACCTAAAGCCTCCTTTTTTTTTTTTTTTTAGTTTGAATGATTAGAGTGTTTTCAAAACAGTTTATACATATTATAAAAGTAATTTTGTTTCGATCATCTCAAAAATATATTTTTATATTGACTTAATATATTTAAAAAAATTAATTTTTTAAGTATTAATTTTAAATTTAAACCCAGAATTTAGACCAACATTGAATTAAAGTATTAAAAGGTGTGCTGTGTTATTGCATTTCTCAATTCCAAATATATGCTCAAAAGGAGGCCATACAGGCAGTGAGAAGATGAAGAACAGAGAGAACCAATGTGCAAGAATTAATTACTCATTAAAATGATAGATCAAACTTTTCCCTACGCGGCTACACGCATTAATTGATAATGCCTAAGCTGTTTCAATCGGTCGGCACTCGGCACTCCGCATTGGTTATCACAATCAGTTAGGTCTTCAACAGTAGTTGCATTGATCTACAACAGCTCCCTACAGGGCCAGTTTTTCCCTGCAATTCCACATGACTAAAGAATTTAATTACCAAAGAATTAGAAAGACTCTGATTCTAATTACGAGAAGGGAATTAATGGCAATGATCAGAGTATAGTGACAGACAGCAGAGCAGCACGTGGATGTCATGTGCATGGGTATTGAACACATTGCCGAAGGAGCTGTCCCAAGACAGGAAAACCCTTACCTACCTCTTTCTTTGCTGCTCCCTTCCCCACCATGTGGGACTCACAACCTTGAGCACAAGTTCAGTTTCCTTGGCCTTCAAGAATGGCTTCCCTCCCAACAATACTTGTCTTATGAATTTGGTTAACTTAAATTATGATTGATGGGGACACATACCCATTTGAGATCTTATCTTTCCAGAATTATTCTCTTTGGGCTCCAAACAAACAGATAGAATAGAGCTGTAGATATTCAGTTTAGGTACCAGATATTTCAGATGATTGTCAAATACAGACACACTAATTGAATGACCTCTGCCAAACCTGTTTCAATCCAGCTTCTTGCACCTTTTAGAACAGACAAAAGTATAGTTATTGAGATATACTGGAAACCATGTATGAATGTAGCTGGAATTGAGAATGGTAAGGCTTCAGAATAATCTGCATGACTGCATTCCTTTCATAAAGTTATATTTTTATTGCAAGAGTTCAGATTGAATTGAAAGAAACATTCCCCATTATACTCAAGAGATAACACTAACACATACCACATCTAATATCAATGCATTTTATGTGAACTTCGGATCAGAGAGCTTTCGATTCTACTAATTTATCTTCCCATCAAAGTATCAAGGGGGTATCAATATGACTAGTATGAGCCATCATTACGAGATAAAAACAAATAAATAGACAGCTTGGTTGGTAATATGACCAAATTCTGCTAACTGATAGAGTGACACAAGCAAGATCTAGAGAGAAATCTGGGTTTCACTTCATTTGTTTGCGAACTTCATAGAAGTAGCTTAGGATCACCACAGCAGCAGCAACGGTAACTCCAACAGCACTTTGTGCTAGTATGGTAGAGTCCTTTGCTATAGGCTTGGTGCTAGAGGAACTTGGAGTGAATCCAAGTTCTGAAAGTTTCTTATGTGATGCTGCATAATCTCTAAAGAATGCATCCTCATCCTGTCAAATTCCAAAAGCAGGGAAGAATGTGTGAACCGGTATCAGAGAAGAATGAGCCAGATTTTGAGAAATATCGAACCATATGATAAGACAGTTACTGGATAAAGGGCAAACAGAAATAGAATGGGTTACAATAGCCTATTTAGAGAAAACACGTATTCAGTAAATTTCTTGTTGTGGCTCAAAAAAAGCACCCTATTTAGAGAAAATACTTATTGTAGTAAGGAATTGGTGAAGGCAACCCTACCACTTCAACCAATTTGGCTATGCAACCACCTTGGAGTTAGGTATTTGTTTGCTAGGGAAACATAACTAAGGAAATATACATCAAAGGCAGCATTCTAGAATGGTTTGGTAGATCACCTTAGCTGATGCTTATCATAGCATAACAGTTGGTATTAGCCAGTGTTAATGCAGACTGGGGATCTTATACTAGGATCAAGGGTAAATTCAGAACAAGACCCCAAAAATTATTTAAGAATAGTATTTCTGTCAGTTTAGGGTCTAGTTTGTTCATAAAGGATCTTGATCCCAGCATTGTGAATTCATGAGTAAGATAAACCAACTGCCAGTAGGTTTGCTGCGAAAATAAGTTGAAATAACACACAAATAATTGCAGCAACTCCGACCTAAATATTTAAGCTAGGTCTTAAGATTGCAAATTTAGCAACATCAGTAACCAACAACAAAGAATAACTTGTGTACTCATTATGTACCTTGAGTGGTATGGATGAGACTTAAGAGTAACCTGTACCCTGTGAATTCAGTGAATAAGCAGATTTTACCTTTGCATAGAGTTTAACATAACGGCGGAACTCAGGGTCCTCAAGTAAAGCCTTGTCTGTTGGAAGTTTCAAAAGCCCTTCTGTTTCCCCTTTTAGAAGCTCCCTGATATAATAATCATTTAGGATCTAGTTTAATTCATAAGGGCCATGGTTTTCTTAGGAAGAAGAAAAAACTAAAAAGATAATATCTTGTGACCGCAGATTTGGGCTTACACAAAGTATGAGTTATCAAACTTCAGGGGTTCCTGGGTCCAAGGGCCATCAAAACCTGACCTCTCTGGATGAGCCCTTCCCTACAATGCCAGCCAACCAAGAAAAGAGTGATTTTGTATCTATGACCAACAAAGCTGTGAATTAGACAGCAAAATGTAGAGATAAGTACCAGGGTATGCCCCCCTGATAGTGCCACAATATCCTTGTCAGACAGACCCATCCGATAAAAGATTTCTCTCAGATGGGGCACACCTGTCATCAGAATTCACAAGAAAATATGAAAAACTTACCCTCACAACCATATAGAAGCATACCCAACCAAATAAAATAAAATAAATTTACATTTAAGATTTTAAGCTTATTAAGAATAGAAGGTGATATTGGCATGCTTGCTAGGTAAGTGGATTTAATGAAGTATTTTGGTTTATTAATTTAACCAACAGAAAAATGGTCAGTCAGAAATTACTTTCCATAGTCATTTTAGTGACCAACCAGATTGTACATCTCCTCATAAGTTCATAGCAAGAGCTGAGCTGGACTTTAACTACAGGAGGTGGTTGTTGCATCATCTGAGATCTGATGACATTTCAGACCGTGTTCCACCTGAACTAACAATTATCCACCCACCTGAATTGACAATTATCTACGAGTTTTTACTCAAATCAATTGAAGCCACCAAAACATTTACTCCTAGCATGTAACACTATACCATCAAGCAGGACTGCAGGGAAAAATAACATGATATATACCATACATTCCCTATTACTTCTCCAGAACTGCATTAAAAAGAGGAGCAAAGAAAATAATCTATAGAATCACACAACACTAACATTTGAACAGAGGTTGCAAGGTTTCATCAAATGCTCTTCTTTCTTTGTCCATCTAGTTGGAGCAAATGCTTACACATCATAACAGATTACTAAAAGAAGAAAATCTTAAA